TTTTAATTGTATTTTCGAAATATAATAACAATATGAATTATTTCACTAGAAAGATAGATAGATATTATTTTTGGAGTAGAATTTATTTATTACTATTTTTATCAGATAAATATGGCACTTGTACCAAGATCTTTAACCAGGGTTGTACATCCCTTTTAATCCCTTGCGTTGGCCAACTGGCTTTCACGGACCATAACGAGTGACCATTGAATGCTTTCTTTCTGAACTCATTGATATCGCTTAAAGGATAGAAATTATTACTAAGAAGTAATGAATTTCTTATTCGTTTTGCCTGGGTTCAATTTGAATGTAAAACTGAGGAAATATAGCAATTTTGGGACAAAAAATTCTCGACGCGCGTGGCACGTCATTGGAGCGCAAGAGGTTAAACTGCTTTCGCGTTGTTACAAGCGAAATTACGTTGTTACGTTTTCCAATCGTCGCTCCAGTTGACGTAAACTGAATGAAATTATCGCCATCGCCAATACATTAACAAGCATGATTAGCAATTGGTGCTAATAAGCGTCCGTCAATTTTTCGAAATGAATTCTCCAAAGACGTGTTTCCAGAGACGAGTTTATTGAGTCATCACCAGCCACGGAGGAAGTAGATCCTCAGGAAGAGGACGATTCTAAGGCAGCAGAAGCAGAGATAGAAGTACAAGAAGTTGGAAAGGAGCACCGCTAGAGTGAAAAGAAGATGAAACATTTGTAAAAAGGAAAGAAGAAAAAAAAAAAAACGTGTATATGTATCGGTGATCGATGGCCGATCTTCTTGGAATTTCCACCAATCTCGTTCTCTTCGTTTTCTTCTTCTTCTCTCTTTCTTGTCCTCTGTTCTTCCTTAATGAATTCCGAGTGCCCCGAGGAAACTGCAAGAGGAAATCCAAGCGTGTTGGCAAAGGCCGACCACGGCAGCCGGCATTTTTTCAAGGAAGTTTTTCAACAGAGTTATAAACGTACGGCGATGAGAAAAGGACACAGAGACGTATGTCGCCTCGACAGACTGACCTGTAACATCGACGAGCAGACTCTGCTCCCCTGTATAAATTTAATATATAAAATATTTCCCCATTTTCGACGCGCATCACAGTCGATGCAAAGCTTCGAAATCCGAATCACGTCGCGAAGTTGATGCGACGATTATTCAGATTTACGCAGATTCGTAATAAAAGAGGAGACATTGACACTCTTGCTAAGGGAGGGAATCGCGAATTTTCACGGTAAATACTTTCGCCCATCGCCGTGCGTATTTATCTATCCATAAAGCAAGAGAACTATTTGAGAGTGTAGAAAGAGTGTTTAAACAGGGAAATGCATTCAAATGGAGATCGGTGCGTTTTACTTCGGATCCGAGTGTGTTCTTGCTCTTGCTGTCTCGCCCCCTTGTTGTCCCGTGTCAATCTTTGCGAGTCGATATCTCGGTAAAAGCGAGTGTAAGGATATATATATCAGTTATTCTTGCTTCTGTCCAGAACTGCCAGAGATGGTAGAATGGTCGCTGTGTGGACGATCGTTGGGTAAGAGGCTGCCGCTGCAGCTTCTCGTCGGGATCGGTTGTTTGACCATGTCGGTAATCACGTTGCTCCTCATCCGTAGCTCGTCGATTTCCCTCGGAAGTTGCTCCCTCCCTCTCCCTCTTGCGCTCCTTCTTCCACGTCTTCGACGACTCCTCGTGGATCTCCTCCTCCTCCTTTGTCTCCCTCTGCCGCGCGATCTACGCCGGGATCTACGACTTCGTGCACGTCCGCGGCGCGTTCTCCGGCGTCTCCTCGATCTTTCTCTCGCTTTCCTCCTTTTCTCTCTTTCTCTTCTTTCTCTCGCCATTCTTGCCCTCCTTTTCCTCTCTCTCCTCTTTTTTAATGCTCTTTTTCTAAATCTGTCTGCTTGGGGGCAGGGGATCTCGACACCCACGCCCTCCAGCCATTGGTTCTGCTCCGGATTGTACGAGTAGCATCCCCTGAAAAACGACGAGCAATTCCAGTTCCACACGTCCCACTGCGAAAAAGCTTGCATGATTAGTAACTTTAACGTCTGTGAGTTGAGTCTCAACTGTCGAATAAATACTTCATTGACAGTGACGGATCGTTGACATCTCGAGCACGATGCAATTTCATGTCTGTAGTTTCCATTTCCAAGATAAGAATGTAGAAATTCTTTTCTAATAGGCTCTCACAGTGAATATATGAATATATGGAAATACAAAGTGCAGAAGAAAAATTTCGACATTGACAGATCGTTCTCGAATTTTTCCAACTGGTTCTCGTCGTGAACATGAGAATTATAGAATAAAAATTTCATTGACTCGATCTCGTTGAAACGTCGAGCATGATGTAATGATTTATTGCCTGCAGTTTCCACTTGCCAAGAGAAAAATGTTAAATTTTTTTCCAACAGTTTCTCGTCGTGAACATGGAAGTGTGGAATAAAAATTTCGAAATTAACAGATCGTTGAAAACTCGAAAGCACTTTTCATGTAACCTTTCATCCACGGTGAACATGAAAATATGAAATGTAGAGTAAAACGTATAGTAGACAAAAGTGCCAACAGATCCTTAAGAGATCTGCCGGAGATCTTTTTTTTTAAATTCAATTCGGTTCGATTTCGAATTCTCTATTTTTAATTTCCACATCTTTGCTCAATATGTTATATAAGTTTGTTTGTGATTTCTTCTCTTCTTAATTAGCCACGTACCCCTTCATACGCTGAAGAATGCCATAAGTCACGCCACGCTTCAGAGCCAGTTGAACGTGCGGCCTGATCTCGGAGTTGGGGATATTATACTCCTGAGCAATGTAGTTGCTAATCTCCCGCGGAGTCGATCCTTGAACTGCCTGCAGCCTGCGAATAGCCTCTACCACCTGGGCCTCGATTTTCGGTGATTTCTTCTTCATAGTCATCGCGGCGGCCGATTCTATAGACTTAGTAGAAGAATTCAGTTTGACTTTGCCTCGATGACCAGCGAGTTGATGGGGCACACTCACTCATAATAAAGAAGCTTGCAGCATTCAGTTCAGAGAATGTTCACTGAAAAATTTTCGTTTCGCAATTGATCCACCTCCTGGATTTCCATCGGCTGCTCGATTAAAAAGTAATCCTCACTCGATAAATTTTTCTTCTGCTCTTCGACGTTGGCCTCAATTGATCAATCAGTCGAAGGTAGATCACTTGCAGATTTTCTCGACGAGAGAATAATTCACGACAGTTCTCGAGCTGGCATTTTCGTCTACACGGCGAATTTCGCAAACAACGCGCGTTTCCAAGAGACGATCGGCTTCTCCGCTTTCTTCGCGTTTCCGATTCGATGTCGAACGCGCGCTCTTGTAATTGGCGACGATCCAGCGAGGGGAAAAAGAAAAAAAAAAAAGAAGAAGAGAAAAAAAAGAACGAAGCGATTTCGATCAATTTCTTC